TTAATAGACCAATTGTAAACATGTATCCATAAAACTAAACCACTGCAAGGTGTCAGATAAACTACCTTCGCTGACTACAGTTTTTGTTTAATAAAGAATACACATGTTCAATCAGTGCTTAAAAAGCCCTATATCAAGTTTAGTAACAAAATACAAGGCTACTGACATTTGACAAAAATTCAGATGCAAAATAAAATGTGTATTTTATATTTTTAGAATACCACAGTCACTCGTACATATGCTGCTTTAAGCATCGACTAGAAGAGCAACGCAACCTTATGTACTCCATAAAATGCTGTGCATTGCGTGTCTCCATAAAAAACATTAAGGTACCACAACATGTTTCAGAATAAAGCAGTCCCTGCTGACTTGTTTTCATTAAATACAAATGTTCTTAATCCCTGTTCATAAAATACAGTAATCCCTACACCCAAGTTAACATACAAAGCTATATCTATATTACTTTAGATGGGAAAATATATTGTCTTAAAAATATCACAGCCACTAATACATATGCAGCATAAACACTGACTAGAAGAGCCCACAGGCTCCATGTTAAAAAAAAGGGTTGTGACTAAGCTGAATCTGTGTAATTTAGAAACAACTGAAGTTCACCTTTTTTTCACAGTTTGAAGAGCAGAGTCAATTTCTTTTACGCGCTCAAGTACTTTGGGCAGTTTAGAGTTCACATCACTTAGCAGGAGGTGTCCACTCCCCACCTTGTCCATGTCCTTAACTGCCTCACCCTTGCTTATGAGTTCTTGTGCACTCAGTAGAAGTGCTTTAAGAGAAGACAGTTTGAACGAGACTGAAAATGAGATGTAGCTGATCAGGCGCTGATCCCTGCGGGGCAGGCTGCCTTCTTACGTGACAAAAAGCCCACCAACTTCTCTCTACCCTACCCAACCCCCCCCCCCCCCCCCCTCCCAACCAGATACACCTATACCCGAAACTTATACGAGTAGAGTGGCTATAGCAAGTTAAGGTACAGTCTCCGGCAATATGAAAGACCCACTGGGAGCGCGTGGCCGAGGCGGTGGTTGGCGAGGGCGCAGCGAGAGCTCCGGGCAATTCCATTCTGCTTTGAGGGGAGGACGCTCACTCGGGTCTCAGCATAATCTGAAAAGCGCGTTTCGCTTTAGCTGAGCCCGAGTGAGCGTCCTTTCCTCGAAGCAGAATAGAATTGCCCGGAGCGCTCGCAGCGCCCCCGCCAGCCACCGCCTCGGCCACGCGCTCCCAGTGGGTCTTTCATATTGCCGGAGACTGTACGTTCTTGACAGGAATCGGCAGCGCGGGAGTGTTGTACGGCATTTCTGATGTCACCCCCCACTCCTCCACGCTAAAGGAAAGAAACAAAAAAGTGTGTAGCACTGCCAATTAACCAACTCGCTTAAGATCGCGGGTATTGTTTTCGCTAGTGGTCTGACGGCGGGAGACAACACACGACAGCGTGCACATTCGCGCACACAATGATGGTTTTGGTTTCGTTTTGACAAGACAAATTGAGCTCGAGAACGGATGTGCCTGTGCTCGCGATTCTTCACGGCTAAGCGTCCAAATATGGTAGGCTACCAAATAACAGGTAAAGCTAGTGAAGACCACTTACTTCTGCTCATGTTAATGGCCAAGGTAGCCCACCGGTGCCGAGGCACCAACTTCTACGATCACGGCAAATCGGGACCACGGGCAACTGCATGCGCGCTCCAACCGCGCCAACCAACTATGCCCGAAACCAAACCGATGTGTTCGTATATCAAGCTCTTTGTAGTAAAAAACGACATCGCACTCTCGATGAACTAAAATCGACGCCTCGCCCTGAGGTTACACATGGTTCGGAGCCCCAGTCGAGTTGGTACGAGTCACCCGCAGTGACACCTAAGCAAAAGTACACACCACATGGTGGCCCGTGGCCAACCGTTTTCCGCTAAATTTAAAAAAAAAGACACAAAAAAAAAAAAAAAAAAAAGTTGAAATTGGCGTTTTGGAGCAGGCTGGCGCAGGGAAGTGAATTGGCGCAGGGTGGCGCAATTGGCGCAGCGCTTCCACCCCTGTTATTATTATCACGCGACCTTTCCGCCAGCCAATGAGCGTCGAGCTTCGCCTCGAGTACACGAGCGTTGCCTTCCGCCATGCTTGATTGAGCTGCGCCCTCGACGAAGTGTTGTCAAGGGCAAAAAGCTCAAATGGAGCCAGAGGTGCTACTGCACTGACTTCCGTCACATCCTTCATCACGAGTTGGCTTTAATGCAACCAAAGGCGCGACCGCGAGTGTGTGACTTTCGAAAGTACTTTTTTTATGGGCGAGTGTTTGCGCACGCAAAGCATTCTGCAGAGCCAGAAGTGACGTCCTCGTATGATCCCCATGCGTAACGTCACGGCCAGTATTTTCCTCGCCGTGATGACACTGTTTGTGATCCCTTATGGTCATTCGGGGGCGACATTTTTAATGGTACGTATGCGTGGAAGAAGTCGAAAATGAAACTGTAGATAAAGATTTCCCTCCCCAGAAGTTTCACATTTTCTTTTACTCGAGGACAGCTTCAATTCTGTTCTTTCTTTCTTCTTTTTTTACAAATGTTTTGGATTTTGATTAAACCATCTTGGAGGTTAATTTTTTAGGTTAATTGGCATTTATCCTTTAAAAAAACCGAAACCTAGTCAAAATTCCAAGTTCCGTGTTTTCGGTGAATACCGAAAAAACCCGCAAACTCGGAGTTCATAGGCCTCACGAGAACTCGGGGAGGCGGTTTTATTAAGATCGGGGTGAACCGAACCCCAAATTGCTTAAATGAGGAAAACCCAAACTTCCCGGGGAAAAAAAAATTTCTATCTACAGCTTTTTTCTTTTTTAATTTTGTTTGTTTGTTTTCTTGAGCCGGGACACGGCTCCCATTGAATTGACAGCGCGAGGTTGGTTCTTTCTTCTGTTCTGAACTACACACCTTATCTCGTATTCATCTCGTACTGGCACCTGGACATTTTCCAAGTAATTGGCTCACCCGTAGGTTCTCCAAAAGCTCCGTTTTTTTAGCATATTTTTGTCCGAAACAAAAACAATTATATCGACAGACACCGAATCTATAGAAGAGATATAACCCCCCCCCCCCCCTCCCCTGAATTTGGTAAAACACCACAAATCTAAACCCCCATAAACAAACTTCCCCTTTCGCAAGAAAGGTTTTGCATGCTATTGCTAATATGTTATCATCACACTGAAAAATTGTTTTTATTTAATATAAATCTCATTGACGTCGTTTATCAATACAGGCTTTTTGTCACCTACATGAAGTTTTTTTAGAAATTGGAAATAGAATTTTTTAGAAAGCTCATTAACGTTAGCATATTTACTTCTTCGTACAAACTATGTCCAAATAAAAATTTAAAAAAGCCTCGTTACACCTTTGCGCACACTGTATTTTACGTTGTATGCCGTATCAAATGAATGATTTGTTAAGGGCTCGAGTATTAATGCATTGACACAGGCGGAGGTACTCTCATATTATTACTTTTTGTTGTTTTTTCAAACAATAGGCTAAAGTATGGTATCTTCACACTGCTCTGCGTTGAATGCTACATTTTTTTTATCTTTATGTTGTATTTTGAGTGCTTTCGTTAAAGTGACCTGCCGTATGTTTCATTTCATCGTTGTACTATTTTTTTGGTATATTATTGCTCGTTGGATTTCGCCTCCTGTAAAAGGTGCCCGAACACTCGTCAAGCTGCCATTGCAGCTATCTGTTCGGGTCCCCCGTTTCTAAAATGAAACAAATAAATACATTATTCTATTATTATAACAGCACTCTGTTTTAGCATAAGAAAAGTAGAACAAGCTGCTTCCCCACGAAGCCCTCTCCTCTTTCCACTCTGAACGGAGAGGAGGCGAGTTCCCGCTTGCCTCTTCCACGGCGTTCGCTTTTCTAAAGTGGAAAGAGTGGAGAATTTGTATGCGTGTGTGTGGTTGCGGGAGAGGGGGGGGGGGGGAGAACTTTATCCTAGGACATAGCTTCCAAAGCCTGGCAGTTCAACGGCGGAGCCATAGAGTACCCGGTCGCAGACTTGGAGCGCGAGGATCTGGTAGCGCAGAGCATCAAAGAGCCATTTCTCGGGCAACCTGGACATCAGCGCACAGGTTTTGCAGCGGCGAGGACCCGAAACACACTTGTTCGCTCGGGAGAAGTGTGTTTCGGTGTCTCGCGGGAGCGAGGCGCCGAGTCCCGTGGCTCTTTTCTCATCTTTTGTCTGCCGCTCCACCTTTTCCATATCGGCGGCCGTGTCTAGTGGCAATCTGCCAGGCTTTGTCCGTATATAGGAGGCTATGCCTAGGGCCTTAATCTGGCCACCTGGCGAAAAATTCAGCGATAAATTCCGCGGCCATGATTCGCTAACGTGGCACGTAACCCCGGAGCCTTCCAGTCATAGACGCCGGAATACTCGGCGACGTTTTCGCCAAGTGTTCAAAGTAGGGCCAAGGGTTTTCTTGTTGCAACAGAGTTCGCGCCGAGAAACTGGGGGAGAGCAGGAGACGAGAGGGGAAGACCGAACGCCAAGCTCGGGTTCGAATGATTAGTGGGTAAGGCTTGAAGCTCCACTGCACTCACCGAACGCGTTATAGAACGCGAAACGCCAGCGTCCGGCGTTCGGCTTTCACATTCGAGCGCGTTCGGCGAGTGAAGTGGAGACAAAGACAGCCGTCGTCTTCACTGCATTCGTCGAACGCAGTGTTCTGGTACCCGGCATTCGTCGAACTTCGGCAACGTCCCGGTACCGGTAAGTAATAGAGAGGTGAATGTGTGTGGCCCCGAAGAGTGGCGAAGAAAGGAGACACCTCGCAGACAGGTTGCAGAAGCTTGGGTAGTTTTTATTCGAGGACAGCTCTAATTATGAGTTGTTCGGTTTTGCACGGTTTTAATGAAAACCCTGTCGGGAGTTATTTATCGGGGTTTATTGGAATCTACCGAAAACACAGAACCCTAGTCACAATCAACGAGGGGAAACTTGGAGTTAGAAAAGTATTCAAGGTCCCGTATTTATTTTGCTTCAATCAAAATCTGAAGACTAAACAAAGGAGTCCCCGCGCGGAGTAACGGACGTTGAATTCCCTCGGTAGATATGGAGTGACCCAAAAGAGCTCCATGCTCGCCCCTTTAGTGCGGTAGACGCAAGTGCGCGCTCGCAAAACCAAGAAGACACAAACAAAACAAATTGTGCCACAGTAGCTCTTGTCGCTACGCTGAATCTCGACGAAACGCTTATAGCGTTTCGTGCAGGGGTTCTAACCCGGCGAAAGATGGCGATTCCCACCTCGCAACGGCCCGTAAACCATGGTGCTCGGGGAATCGGTCTGTCCTCCCGGGCGTCGGCGGTTTCAAACGCAGCCACCACAACTCACCTCGATCGCCGCGTACGGTTCCTCTATTGTTGTCTTCCAAGAGACTTTTTTTTTTTCTCCCGGGTGTCGGCGGTTTCGCGCAAACAGCGTCGTCTCTGGGCCTCAGTTTTACGCTGTCGCGTATACGTTGTGCCATGGCCGCTCGGTCCACACCTCTTCGCGGCGCGTTCTTGGAAGAGTGCGAGGCGACTGTTTCCCTCCTACGTAAGCGGGAAAGTGGGCGTAACCGGGGAACGAACGGAGCGAAAGAGCACTGCGGGAACTGCACCGCGGCTTCGTGAAACCAGTCCAGTTATAATGGCGACCATCCAAACCAAAGGCGGCTGTATGCACCCAGGCAATATAAGCTAACGCGTTTAAAAGCGCTCCAAGACCGCTCCCGATTCACCGAGGGAATTTCCCCACGAGCCATTCAGAGGAGCCTGTGCGCTGCCAGCGGGACGAGCAACAGCGCCACCACTCCGAGGGAAGAGCCGGGAGCCGGCACCCCGTTGACGTCTTTGCTCCAGGCGTCCTGGAAGGCGGCCAGCAGCTTCTCGGCGACCTCCTTGCCCGGCTTGGCCGACTCGGGACACGTTCCCTGGGGCACCAGGCAGGTCCGCGTGGTCTCGACGGCGTCACTGGAGGAAGTGGGAGAACGCGAAGACGCGCGCCGAGGTGTAAAGAACAGTAGGGATCGTCTCGAAAGTTCGGCGAATAAAACAACGTTCTGCGGCTCGTCGCTCGGGCGAAATGATTACGCGACAGTCGCCGACGAGGCGAGGGCGGGGCGTCTCTTTGGAACGCCTGACCAGCATCGCGCACCAGTTGCCTCCCGCCGTGCTTTGGATGCGCGTACGCACACTCGAGGCTCGCGAGATGCGTCACCGAAGGCAGCGTGAGAGCGCGCGCCGGCGGCGAACAACCTAGCTGCGACTACTGGCGACGTGCGAGAACAAAAGCGTCGCTGTGGTCGGCCTTCTACGATTGGCGAACGTTACGGTCAACGTTACTCGATTAATTCTAATTTCGTTAATGGTGTAAAGTTGAAAACGAAACTAAAATAAATGGTTGACTGACGGGCCGACAGATGGAGCCAGAAGGTTATCTAATCTAGAGTAACTGTATATGCTCCGCTTGCGGAGCAGAGTACCGCAATGGTGCCATTCTGGAGCCAAGCACTGCGGGAAGCCACGGTCGGTTTTTGCAGGGGACGCGAAGGCGCAGACGCGCAGCGTGCTGTGGCGTGCTGCGGCGCGCTGTGGCGTGCTGCGGCGCGCTGGGTAAGGAAAATAGTGCGGCGACGAGCAGCGCAGGCGCCGTCATCGTTGTCCCGTCGTTTTCTGTTTCCCTCTCGATTGCAAAAATCGCACCCGCGGATCCTGCGGGTCGCGTGTCAAGTGAAGTCGTCGTCAATTCATTGCGGTAAACGACGCAGCGGCTGACGAAAACGCCGTCCCCTCGCTTTCGCACGAGAGCTCGCCGACTCGCCAAGATGGCCGGATGTGCCGGTCGCGTATCGCGTATCACTCCGCGAGAGCCGCAGACGCGAGCAACGCGATCGTCGTCCGTGTCGTCTGCTTCCCATACCTTGGAAGCGGATGTCCAAAACATCGCTCGCGTTATAAAAAAAGACAGGATTGTATTGTACTCAGTTGACGCACGTAATGTTCAGTGACTTAGGAAGCTTTCGGTTCGTTCGATTTTAGTCTAGGACCCATATTTGGCGAACTCAAAGCGGAAAATATGTTCCCCCGAAACTCGGCGCTCTGGAAGGCCGCTTTCCCGCACGAAGATCGGATCCAGTTCGGCCCACGTGACTACTCCTCCGCCAATACGGAGATGGCGGCGAAAGGAAAAGGAACGCGATACTCTGGCTCTGCAAGCAGAGCCTATACAGTTACTCTAACCGACGCGACCGGCGGCCTTACCGCCTCAACGCATGCCGTGTTCCGCGCCGGCCGTGCCAGCGACGCCGGACCAGGATGCATCACGCGCTGGCTCCCGGCAGCCCTCGCGCGGGAAGCGCGGCGAATGCGAGCAATAGCAGACGACGGGAGCACCACTCCGTGAGGCGTCATGTTTGAAGAATCGGGCTCGGCCGGTCGAGAAGCTCATCGAGGGAATTCGTCCTCACCCGTGTGTCTACGACACGAGGAAGCTTGAGTACCGTAGACAGGGGGCTTGTAAAAGATGTACCGTATGTACATTGACCGCCTACGCTTGCGGCGCAGGCGGTGCACCAATAGTGCAAGCGCGAGTTTTTGTCATGCAAGGTACATCCACGCCAACGCTCGAACTTGGCGCTCAAGAAGCGCGAGAATTTTCGCCTGCTATTCAAAACGAAAAGGAACAGGAAGTGGCGCACTCTCACAGGAAACATGCCCTCGCAGTCAAATTCTGCGCATGCGCCGCGCCGGCGGCCCACCGACGCAAGCCGCGGGAGCCGCCAGGGCCGCCGTAGTATAAAGAGGGCGAATTGTTGACGCGCGCGGCGTGACTGACGTGACGTAGCCGACTTCGGCCAGCGTTCGCTTGCGAGCGCGTTACGTCGGAGTATAACTCCGCTTCATATTTGATATTTAGAAAACTATGTAGCCCTCTTCAGTGTCATATAGGAAGACCCCATGCCAAATATTACGATCTAAATCCGTTTATATATTTAATAAACTGGCCGGCAAACCTTCAAGCAAGCCAAGTCGCCGAAATCTGGCAACTCTAGCGTGCGGCCCGAGGCGCAATCATCAGCGCAGTCAATGCCACGGAGTTGGAGCGGCCGACATTGAGCCCTACGTCAGAGGCATGACTACGTCATTCTCACGTTTTGTTTGTTTTTACTTTTCAGAGCAAAATTGAACGATGACGTCAAGAGTTTCTGCTCCCGGCGTTGGCTGACCGGGCGTTCACGTGATCACCGTAACGCGGATGCGCTAGTTTGCGCTGCCCTGCACGCTTATCGGTCAGTTTCTCCGATCCCTTTCTCCTCTTTCCTCTTCTCCCCTCCCCCTCTCCCCCGGGCCATCACCGTCCACGCCATGCAAAGCGACCTGCCCGCGTCCAATAAAAAAAAAAAAAAAAAGAATCTGCCCGCGTCGCGTGTCCTGTTTCTCGCTCCCTCCCGAACGTCACAAGACCACGTGGTTCGCGACGTGACGTGGCCATGACTCTGACGCCTCGAGACCAATGCTGCCTGACGCAACCGAAGTTTCGGTTTCGGTATCAGCTGATGTTTAAATTAGGATTACGCAAATAATATTCCACATTTCGCGAATCCGAAGACGTAGAGCTGTTCAGCAGTGCTTTGTGAATTTGAATCACATGTAAGCCTCGATTTTTTGGAATTGAGCGGAGTTGCCCTTTAACTCTGGTCCCGACGTCATAGATGGGAGTCGCAAGACAACCGAAACATGTTGACAAATTTTAGGGAGCACAGAATGTGTTGTGAATGAGCAGGACACATGATGCTGTGTGTGTGTGTCGTTACGTGACGTCACAAAATGATCTCGTGACGTCACGCGACTAACGTCACATCACGTCATGGTGTTACGTGACATCATGCTGTCACATTGCGGCCATCACAGCGTCTAGATGCCGTTTCACTGTGCTCTATAATATACACAGTTTTGAAACAAAAAATGCCAGCCTTTCCACTCTAACCAGACAACCGGCAAGCCGATGTCTTGTTGCCGCCGTCGCTCCTAGATGGCGGTAGCCTTCCAGAGCGTTGTTTCGTGATTTATTTGTCCACGGACACGAAACTGGGGAAACTAGCCCTTAACAGCTCCGCTGTAAAAATCCAGATGACGCTTCGACCGACGGGAGGCGGATCAAAGGGAATGAATGGGTACCCCCTCCGCCGTTGTTTCACCACCGAGCTAACCTGGTAATGTTGATTACGGTCAACGGTACTCGATTAGGTCAGTTACGGAACCGCCCATAAACGCTGCTTGAACAAGCACTACCCTCCCCCTCTTCTCCTCCTCCTCCTCCTCCTCCTCCTCCTCCTCCTCCTCCTCCTCCTCCTCCTCCTCCTCCTCCCTCCGTCTTATCTCCTGTCATTCGACGCGCAACCGTTTTGGGGGATGGCTGCTACGGTAACCGGAGTGTATTCAATGGAAAAACGTAACGGAGCGGCCATAAGGACTAACAGATTTAGCACGCCTCGCAAAATTCGAATTCCAAACGTACATATCTGAAATTGGGCACCCGAATATACTTTCGTAAGAAGTGACCTATATTTTTTCAGAGCTCAAGTCAGATGTGGTAAAATATTATAAGTAAAGCAAAAACGGCGGCCTTGCTTTTCCTATGCCGGATGTTTGTTGACTGCACACTGGGTTATGAGCTTGCTTCCAGATGGTCATTGTTCATATATTTCGTTAGAAGTATTAATTATCACGATTATCTTGCTCAACCCCAGTCTCTGCTTTTGGTTTTTAGCTTTTTCGCGTTCAGCAAGCCACCAGGGAGCGAGCTCATAAACCAGTCTGGAGACGAGGAACATGCTGATATACATGGCCTCCGATTCTAGTCAAAAAGCGAAAACTGAAACACTCACGAAATAAGTACCATGTACGACAATGAAGGCTGCTAATTTACAACAGATTTTATTAAGAAACATTCACTCAGCCATTTCGTCCTTCACCGTACTTATAACCAAGCCATAAACCGACAAGAAATCGGCAATCTTACGTGAAGCCATCTAAAAGAGGCATTTCCTTATTCGGCAGAAAAAACGACGGCGTTCTTACATACTTTTCAACCGCGTTCTTGAGAAAGTTTTAACGATTTCTGCCTCCGTCCTTTCAATCGTTCTTTTTCGAAACTTAGACGAAGCTAGAAGTGGTTCACAACCACAACGCGTACAATGTTTTTAAATGATATGAACCAACTAGACCCAACCAGATTTATTGCTCCGATTTTGCCTTATTTTCAATATTTCACTATACCTCAAAATTCGGCTCTAAAGAATAGATTAAAACTTTTGGCGAAACTATGTTCGCGTTCCGAATTTCGGGTATGTGCGTTTGGAATTCGAATTTTGCAAGGTGTGCATAATGTGTTAGTCCTTGCAGTTGCACCTTGTATATTTCAAAGCACAGCGTGTAGATGGCGTTTCACGGGATTTTATGATAGAGTTCCTAGACAAGAGCTTCGTACAAATAGCGACCTTCTTTGAAGCGCCGACTGCGTGACGGTGCAGGTCTTAGAAAGCGAATGGCGGCGCACAGCAGACGACTGAACTGAGTGACGCCATTTTTATTCCGAAATGTGCTTTGTCATTTGTATTGGTTGTCGTTACTTGTTAAAATAAGTATCACTGAAAGTCTTTATTTTATGAAGCACACAGTTTTGAAACGAAAATCAAAGTGGCGCTTGGAACGAAGGGAGGCGAATTGAAGAGAGGGGGTGGGGAGGGGGGAATACCCCCACTTTAGGGAATTTCTACAACTAAGGTAATGTTGTAACGCTGATTACGGCACAGATTGATGTGACCCGTGACGTCCCGGACGTGACGTGTCACACCTGGCAGTCAAATCATGAAGTTGTAAAAGGTGAAAACAAAAAGGTTTTAATGGGCCGATAAAAGCTTCGTTGAACTTACTCGGTAAGTTCCTTGATGCCGGCCTTCGACGTCTTCAGGGGCACAGAGAAGAAATTCAGGATAATCTTGGACACGCAGGCCTTGAAACGCTCGCCGTCGTAGCACTTGAAAGCTCTGATGAGCTCTGTAATTGAACATTAGCCTGCGTCACTTAACTCAATGCAGTTGGTAGACTACAGCCCAGGACAAATTTATGTGGCATTTTCGACGAGAGGAGTGCGCGTGCACAGCTTTAATCAGCGTTCATGTACATGCACCCGCACCTCTGACTACATAGGCACATTAGGGAGTTCTACGGCTTATGGGGCCCCCAAGGTTTGGGGGCCCCTAAGCCGTATGGGGAAACCGAGCGCAGCGATAGTCACCGTGACATGCTTGCGTTTCTCGATTGCAGCGTCGATACGGCTATCAATCAAAATTAATAAAGCGAAAAATATACCGGAATACCTTAAGCAGTAACCGCTTCCAGTAGTGCTCGCCGTTAAATATTCATTACATTTTAAAACGTTCATTCGGGGATAACCGTGACTGTACTAACATAGCTTGCGCACACCTTTCTGAATCCAGCGTGTTTTCGTCGTTGAAATCACAGGCGCCAGCTGGGAGTGAGAAATAGGTAAAATACATTACTCGTTCATTTCTCTTCAAAAGTACTTATAGTCGGTGGCCGTTCGAGAGTTCAGAAGAAGCTCATCTCAGCTCTTTCCACCTCTAGCAGAGCGAACGCTGGAGAGGACGACAACTCCTCTCCAGCGTCCGCTCTGCTAGAGGTGGAAAGAGCTGGGAGGAGCTTCTTCTGAACTCTTAAAGTGTCACCGAATATAAGTCGCTCCTTAGTTAACGAAAAAAAGTAACTAGGCAGAAGTAACGCATTATGAAGAGATCTCGAAGTAACCAACCAAAGAAGCGAGTGAATCAGAGGATCCGAAAAAAATCCACTGAAATTATTTTTTCTGTGTGTCCGTGTGTGTGAACAGTAAGAAGCAGAAGAAAGCACTACCACAGCGACACAACCAAAAGAGCTACGACTGTTGTCGCTGCCGAGAGTTTTTCCTCGGTGGTTCAACACTTGACTCAAGTGGAATCGACTTAGCCAGCCTCACTGTCAGTTGTAATAAACTGCAAACATAATAATCATTCATTACTACGTATAAAAAAATAAAAAAACGAGCAATTCATTTAGGTAATAATAAAAAGGTAATCTATCAAGATAGCGGCGTTGATGCAAGATTGCTAACAATTGCTTTATGAACCTTTATTTTCCGCGAGCTTCAGCATCTGAACGAATTGCTATGGTTGCTGCGCCGTTAGCCGTTGTGGCTCTCTAATATCTAGGGGATTGCAAATGCTAAGGAAACAGGAAGGCTCGGCTGCGATACGTATATAGCGAAGCTCGTAGAGGATTGCGGATAGCGTACCAATTAAACGATCTACTAAAATCCTCTATTAGGGATGTCTTGTACACTGTTTGCACCGTCCTGCAACGCCCTTGAGGCCAGCGAGACGCGTGTGGAGTAGGGGCATCTCCGCTGCGGAGAGCGGGGGGCGAGAAACGGTCTACGAAAACTCCCTATTATTTGAGGCAGCATTAGGGTGTTTTCGTAGACCGCAATTCCCCTTCCGCTAAGCCCTCCGCAACGAAGAAACCGCTACTGCACCTGCGTGCCGACGGCCTTGATTGTAGAGTTTCGGTTATTGTAGCGGGTTTCGGAGAGCATTGCGAAAACGATCTACGAAAACTCCCTAATAACGTTGAGATACGGGTCACTGCGTGTCACCCAAAAACACAACGGGAAGTTCAAAGTGTGTGAATGGAATTGTAATTAGGGAGTTTTAGTAGACCGTGTTTCCCCCTCCGCTAACCCTCCGCTACGAAGAAACCGCCACTGCGCCTGCGCGCCAATAGCCTTGGCTGAAGAGTTCCGGGTAGCGCAGGGGCTTAGCGGAGGGGAAAACACGGTCTACTAAAACTCGCTATGGATTTCACCTCTACTCGTCACTTCTTTCTTACAAATAAAAGTCAAACTTTTTTTTTTTTTGTCCGTGCAACTTTTAAGAGTGATTACCTTTGAAGGAACTCTTGTGCACGATTTCTTGGCGGAACTTCTCGTAGTTCAGCCTCGCCCGAGCAAAGTATTCTTTCTCGGCCGCAGTCGCGCACTGCTCCGTCGGTCCGAAGCAGTCCGGTTGGGCTGGTAGATAACTGCGAGAGAAGAAACATGTGTGCGAACGAAACATTGCATGCACGCGAACCTACCATACTGTCGATCATTATTTTTCATTGCCACGGATTTTGTAAATTGTTTTTACTGGAAAAGCGCAGAAGCCTGTGTGTCCTTTCCGAGCCATCGTGTCAGAGAAGAACACTTGGCAGGTTCAGATCAGCCGGTTTTTACAGCGCCATTTGGACATTTGCGCTAAAGGATCCTTTTTTTTTTGGTGCAAAGCTCGCTTGAAATAGTCAGTGAACTTAGAGAAGGGGTTCGGAATGCTGTCACTGCAATATCTGTGGATGTTGAGGACTTGTATTATTCCGTTCCTCACGATGGCCTTCTCAAGGCTGTTCGGGATAACATCAACGAATCTGGAGAAGTTAGATTTCAAAGTTCCGCGGGCATTAGCAGCGATCATTTTTCGGAACTGCTAGTCTTTTATCTACATTCAACTGCCGTCAGTTTTGACAAGCGATATTTTGTACAGAAGTCTGGTGTGTGCATTGGGTGGACAGTTGCCCCTGTTTTGTGTAACATTTTTTTGGCATCACTCGACCGGCAAATTTCAGATAGGCTTGCAGATTTTCATGTTGTAAAGACGTTAATATATGTAGATGACTTTTTTTTTTTTATTTTAGATACAGATTCGGGTTTAGAGAAAACGGTTGAGAAGATTGTCGCGGTGTTTAGGAAGTTGTCAGGTGGACTTAATTTTACCTGACAATTGCCTTTGAATAACTACCTTCCGTTTTTAGACATTTTGATCCTTTTTTCTGACGAACATGTCTGTGGGCAGTATTGTCCCCGCACTAAGAAAAACCTACCGTATTTACTCGCGTACAGGTCGACCTGTTTTTCAAAAATCGCCTCATCAAAACTGGGGGGTCGACCAATACGCGAATCCCGGTATTATATTTTTCAACTTTTTTTTTTTTTTCGGGGGTCCCGAAGTTAGGGGGTCGACCTATACGACGTATCGACCAATATACGAGTAAATACGGTAGTTTTGTTTGAAAGTGCTCACTCTAAACTGGTTAAGAGGGGGATAGCCTTGACATGTCTGAGTGAGGCTCTGGAAAAAAGTTGCCATCATCAGATGAAAATCATCTGATTTTTATCTGATGATGTTAAGGTTAAGGTTAAGAGGCTCGGGGTACCCACCTAACCTAATCTCTAGTTCTTGTGAGAGCCTTCTCCAAAAGCTAAAAAGAAGTAAAAAAAGGGCATCGAGGCAAGTAAAGAAAGGAGACGAGTGCAAGTCATTCCGTACATGCATACCGTGTCTCATAATCTAAAGAAAGGTAGCTGGCAGATACGATATTAACGTGGTTTTTTCGGTACCGTGTAAACTCGCTAGGGTATGTCCGATGTTGACTTTAATGTTGACAAGGCAGGAAAAAGCCCCGTGTTCTAAGAAACACATGGTCCAATATACTGCGTGTCACCAATGTGGTGTGCGAGATTCCGTTTAGTTGTGGCCGAGTTTACATTGGGCAGACTGGGCATGATAGAGCACGAGAGCATAATCTGTGTGTGCGCAACGTGGGAGCCATTTTGCTGACCACTGTAGGCGATGTGGGTGTAAACCTGACCTGATTGGCAACAGTTTTTAAGAAAGGCAAAAGACAAAACGGAAAGAGATTATAGAGGCATTCTACATAAAAAAAAGGGGAAAACAATTGGATCAGCGCTCCGTCTGTGTATCTGCTTCAGAGTGAGTTGGTACGTCTGGCTGCTTCACGAAAGCGCGAGCCCGGCCGCCCTCTCGTGTCAGGCGTTGCCGGAGAGGGGAAGGGAAGGGGGGGGGGGGGGGGGGGGGGGCTGCGGCCGCAACACGAGCGCGCGCGCTCAACCGCCGCTCTGGTGGTAGGCGTTGCCGGAGGGGGAGGGGGGCTGCGGCCGCTACACGAGCGCGCGCGCTCAACCGCCGCTTTGGTGGTAGGCGTTGCCGGAGGGGGAGGGGGGCTGCGGCCGCTTCACGAGAGCGGGCTGCGCCGCCGCTCGAAGCAAACCAATATGAACACAATCCGCCCGTCGCCGCCGCCGCCGAGAGCGAATCCGCTCCCGCGGCAGCGGATTTCTTCTCAGGTGCAAACGTACCGTAATGCAGCGAAAGAACGACATTCATGCTTTCGCATCCACAACTCATAAGAAGTGCTAAGGTTAGGGTGACCATATTCCTCAAGGTAGAAAACGGGCGATCGCAGCTGGGGGAGAGGGAGGGGGGGGGGGGTACTGAAGATTGATATTGGGAGAACAAATCTAATTAAGTAACTAGTCCTATTTCAATACTGTACCATATTGCACTAAGCCCTGGAGCAGGCTCACAATTCAGTTCCATGCACCCATTTGGAAGGTGCTTGAGGGCAAGAGCAGTTCTAAATTTTACTCTCTGGGTAAATATTTTAAAGTACCTACTGTAATTTTTGTAAACTATACTTGTAACGAGTAGGCATAGTTTCGGTTTGCTTCAACTCGCTTGGTGATAATTCAAAACTATGCACTCCTGTGAAAACGGGACATTATTCTTTATTGGGACAAAAAGACGGGATCTACCTCAAAAACGGGACTGTCCCGGCCAAAACGAGACGTCTGGTCACCCTAGCTAAGGTCTCCTCAAAATGTTTTTCTGATCTTTTTAAAAGTACCAAAAGTGTGCGTGCATAGCTTTTATAGGCGCTGAAGATGCGCGAGAGTGGAGATTACGAAAACTCCTTATATGACGTAACCCTCCGGTGAGAGGGGATTCAGCGGTACTTTGAAAATTATTTTCTGCAGCCTCCGTGCACCAATTTAAAAAATAACCTCGATATTCCTGATCCTGGAGGCCAAATAAAGACGATTTAGGTGTTTTTACTCCAGAACTGCTTCAGTTTCCCTTCAAATCATGATATGATCACGAACACGCTTTATATCACGACCTCGGTCGTTCAGAGGTACGGAATAATGAGGTATTATTATAATTATTATTATCATGATTTACCCAATGAGCATGTCGATCAGACCGTCCAGAGCGCTGTCCTCTGCCTGTGCCAGGTGGGGCATGTTGTCATTCATGACATCGAACAGCTTTTTGAAGCATTTCGCAGCACCTCGAAGATCGCATTGTTCGACGGCCAAAATGCCTAAAAAAGAAATATTTTTTACACACACACACACACATATATATATATATAAAGTTTATAGCCAGCGCTTTTTAAACTATTTTATATTTATAGTAAATTTTCTTCCCTTTTTAACAATTTCCTCCTTTCCTTCTTCGATAACGTTGAAACCTTTGGAAGCTGGTTGTTATATCTTATATATTGTGCCATTGTATATGTTGTTTGCGCCCCCGTCCTCGATGTTTTATACTTTCAAGTCTTCGTAGCGACACTTTAGTGAAAAGAGGTCATTTGAGCAAATCGACATTTTAGCGAACATTGGTCATTTCAGTGAATGACATTCTAGCGAACGATGTTTTAGCGAATATGCTTCTTTCACTTATGTTTTTACTAGAGCCGGAGATGCTTGCCTGGCTTTTCCTTTTTTTACCGCGGCGGAAAACAACGACACGGAAGTGCCTATTTTGGTTTTAATGAAACAACGTAGCAATTTATTACGAGGCAACACGGCGTGGAAGCGAAAAAGATAACATTACAGAAATCAAGAGGTGCGCCAGGAACGAAAAGCCATTCGCTAATCCGTCATTCGCTCAAAGAAGCGCCGCCATTCGCTAAAGCGTCGTTCGATCAAACGTAGGGGGCGGGGCTTCATTCGCTAAAATGTCATTCGATCAAGTGAGTGCCTCCCGCAGTAATAAATGCTCTAAAGCAAAAGCAAAAGGAATTTTACCTCGCACGCCTGTTCATCAAACCTTTCTATTGGTTATTTACATGGAATATTTTATACCGGGAAGGCGAGCGCGTGCGGCGCGTAGTTACATTCTCAACATTCTCCTCGATCGGTAACTGCGGTTAACCCAAGGTGCAGTTAAGTGTGAATGTTTAACTAGGGTATTGGAAAAGCGATGTCCATTTCATCGAGGGGCTTCGCGCGTCAATTGGTCACATCATACCTCGGGGCCACTGGAGTGCGCAGGTGAGAAGAACAACCACGCCAAAAGCTGCCTTCATGACTGTCAGGTCCCGGGGTGCGGCTCGCGTCTGACGAATACCGCGCAGTACGCGAAAGATATCCCGCTGCGCACACGTAATATCACCGTCGAAGCGGGGCCGCTTATCGGCCCGGCCTTTCGTGCCAAAAGGTCACACCTAGTGTGCCCAGATTTCAGAGTGCTTCCAATCACTCGGAAGAGGTCACGTGGTTTGCGGGCCGCGTTTGCAATACGAGCTGCAGAGCGAGGGTGACGTAAGCGTTGATTTTGCGTTGATCGTCTGCGAGTGCCTCCGCCTTTCCGTCCGCTTTCCTTCTCGTCTTGGGCCAACGCAACGCATGCGGACTTACGACCCATTAGCGCAGGGGGCGTCCGCCATTAAATTGAAAACGCTCCCCACGGTTTCACTTCCTCCATCTCTTAAATCTAGGCTCTCTGGTTTCACCTGCGAGTGTCTGAAACTGTGTGACACACGCGCTTGTACGGGCAAGAGGAGTGAGTGTCAGTGTTGACTTAAGGACGACAAGTGTCGACCTATCAAGTGGAGTGGAGGCCTGCCGATTTCCTCCTTGATTACAACAGTGCTTACGATGACACTAAACTCAAAGAGAAACGTTTCTTTGAAGGGTATGTCACAAAAAGACAAAAACAAACAAACATTGGGAGTTATTTTACTCTGTCAAGGTGGATGACCAGTGAAGCTGTTTAGCACACGACACAGACGTGACACAGAATTTTGAACAGAGGTACGAACACATTTATCTTCTTGATCGGTGGTCATCGCGACGAAAGGTACACACACACATGTCGAGGACTATCGCCGCCCCAAGAAGCCGGAGGAAACAAGGCACACACGACGGGACCGCCACCCGGCGGAAGGAAAGGAAACTAGGTACGCAAACGCTTGGAATGACGACAAAGAGAGGGCG